TTGCCATTTGGATGTTGCTTTCTACTGGGGGAGCAGTGGAGGTTATCATCGGGCTATCCGGATTGCTCATAGCCTTTTTAGTGGCCAGCACACCCTGCTGTACATCCGGCCACACCGGTACTTCAATGCGAAAAGTGCTTTTGTAGGTGGACTGGAAGGACACCATTTGACCCAGGTTGCCGTCAAGGATTCCATGTTCATATGCGCCTGCTAACTTGGGCGTGTTTGGAAGGGCGGAGAAAGTGCTGGAAGAACAAACACCATCGTATGTGCCAACAATAATGTATGGACTATTGGCCTCACTTTCGCTATTGTGCCTGTATTTCTTCCCTTCCTCAAGAGTGACGTCTAGGAAGCGCAGCTTTTTCATGCGCTCAATGAGTTTATGGACTAGCTGCGCCGGAAAGTATACATGCAAGTGATGAATGGGGAGATCCGGTCTGCCCAAGTTTTGATTGCGGCCAAAAGACATGACCACTGTCTGCATAAGCGACAAGGTCTTGCTATTAGGCTCGAGCGCAGGTGTGCCCCGTTCATCTTTCGCTCGAAAGGCCGGAGCACCATTTGCCTCCGCTGTTTTGTTTTCACATGCTTTAGCACAGAAAGACAGGAGACCGTACAGCCAGTAGCCTGGGCGATAACCCCATAGGGTCGGAGTGCTTGGCATTAGTCGATGCAGGTTTAAGGAATGCAAACAGCGACGGTAGTCGCTTGGCCATTTCACCACAAATATTGTCGAAGTCATGGCAAATGTCTTTCATTACTTCCCGTGGCAGTTGGCAGAAGTCGACCCCTCGAAAACTAAGCTCGGCAAGTCGACGATAGAGGGTAACCCTGAGTAGCACCCCAATGTGACGCAGCTGGACACTAAGGCGTGCCAATGCGGCAAATTGGCATACAAACTAACTGGAGGTGCCACCGGGGGCAACACCTTAGGCGCCTTTGCGGACTGTGCACCTGCGTTTGCAGACGTCTTGACAGAGAGTGTTTGGTAACGATGTACCACATGCATCGCTCTCTGCTCTGCAAGCAGAGCAATCTCAGTATCCACGGGTCCGGACTGCTCTTCCTCCTCCTGGAGGTATTTTTCCTTGGTGGTCGCAGCTGTTCCTGCTGGAGCGTGGGTGCCTGTGCCTGGATCGTCGGTGGATGGCGCTGGCATTTGAGGATCGGCCGCACCCGTTGCAGCTGGCCTGGCCGGCACCATGCTGAGTAGGCCTGGCGATGTCGCCGACGGTGTTTGTAGTCGGGCATGAAGCGCATTCAGCAGTCCTTGTTCAGGGACACCCCGCTGTTGGTCCGTGGCCGGTTTGGCTGCTTTGGATTTGACCGCTAGAGGTCCTTGCGGCCTTCGCTGTGAGGTTCCCTGTGGGACAGGCGCCTCAGCGGCACCACCGAAGTCTCCATGATTGGACGGGCTTGATGGACAGGGAGCAGTCGAGCCAACCAGGCGGTCTTGCGTCCATCTGTTGCGTCGTTTCACTTCTCCTGGAGAGGAGTTGGTAGTGCCATAAGGCGCAGAAGAAGCAGAAGGGCGACCACACGGGTAACCACCTTCGCCACTGGGACCATCTCTTTTCAAGGCTGATGTGTTGCCTTAAGGGGGCCTTGGGGAGCAGGGTGCACATCTTCATCCTGCAGGGAGGCCATGGAGGCCGGTGGCTTAGTGCCCGTTTTTTCCATGTCTGTGCTTGCCTCAGCTGGCAGTTGAGGCGTGGTTGTTTTCTGCCTGCTAGGGGAGTGTGGCTCATTGCGGGCAGGTGAGGAGCCTGGTATGTGGCGCTCCCCTGCCTCGGCAGCGGTAACGGAAGCCTGAGCAGTAGTTGTCTCCTCGCAGACTTCAAATATCAATTACTTCATCGGTGGTCACACTCTCTGTTTCCTCCGCTCGTTCTCCTTGCCTTGTGGCCCTTGCCGCTTCTGTGGCAGCTCGGTTCTCTGGGATCTCAGCCGGGGCACCTTCCAGAGTATTTTCCCCTTCGCTCATGGAGGTGATTGTCACCACCTGTGGCTCTCCCTCAGATGGTTCCGTATCATTGTCCTGGGAGCAGTTATCTACCTCGTCAGAGCTGCCGACAGCGATGGGAGAAGTCAGGGACGTTGTTTTCTGACCTCTGCTTTCCGGCACGGGTACCTCACTCGTGGAGGTGTCGCTGCTTCCTTCTGAGCTGGTATCTGTCAGACTGACTTCAGCCAGATTGCCACTAGCCTGTGTGTCATGCGATTCAGTGGCGTTGACTTGGTCAGTCGGGCTAGGGTGCCAGTAGCAGCCATTTTGCAACAGCCCTGGACGAGGGGGTAGATGAAGGAGGGAGTCCGGTTGGTTCAGCTCAATCTTCCACCTCCACGCATCATAGAAGTAAATCTCGCGCAAAGATTCAAACTGATATTCTTTGGCTTTGTTGGCAGCATCATCAGCTTGACCAGGGGTGTAGCGACTGTAACTGCCAACACACCAGGCATTCGTTTGGCTCCCATCGGGGAGTACTAGCCAATCTGGTTCTGTGCATCGATCAGCTGCATAGCCAAACATAAGGCCACTACTGTGTACTGGGTGCTGTTTGTCTAGGAGCAGCTTTTCACCTTTAGTGAGGAGGTTTTGCGAAGTAAGCAACAGCCGGAGCCGTCGGGATTGGGCTTGGTGATATTCGACAAGGCAGACTGGAAGCGGTCCGATCCACAGTGGCTGGGGTTCCATAGCAGCCAAAAAGGCAGCGGTGGACTCGGAGACCATCCTCCGACTACTCGAGAAGCTACCTTCCACCCAGACGCCTACCGGCTGTTGGTCATTGGTGTACAGTGCGCAAACACCATGCAGCAGGGCCGAAATGACTTGAGAAACTCCTGCGATTCCGTTCATGTTGACTGGACAGGCAGATACGGTTAGGTCAGTGGCTCTGCTATATGCGACATTGGCTCGAGTGTAGCACTCATGATCAAAGTCGGTGCTACGCGAGTTGCCACTAAGGAAATTGGATTTGCCATGTAACACCACGCAATGCTTGGCTGTCGCACCAGCAACTTTGACCGCAGTTTCTGCGTTGGCTCGCCGGCCCGACTGCTGGAAAAAACCCTGCAAGTGCTGTGCACTAGACGAACGGGTAGGACTAGGATGCTGTCGCTTCCCCCTGTGTTCATTGGAAGCCAGCTTTCGATCTGTTGGTACGCAGCAGTGGTCGCCGCTGGCGGTGGCGCTGCTCGAGCTTCTGGACGCGGGGCATCATGTACCCAGTTGACAAAACGAAAGCCTGTAGCTAGCTGGCCGTCCTCTCTGATAGAGACAGTGCCTATTTGCCAGCTGCCATTCTTTACGCTGCAGAGCATGGGGTATTGGATCCCAATTAAGGGCTCGTATACTTCCTGGGCTACCCTTGCACTCGTTGGGAGCATTATACTCAGCTGGTGGGCCCCTGCCAAACCCGATCGATCTTCTGCGGTACTAGCTTGATGGAATTGGAAAGCATGTCCAGGCCGTGTAAGGGCATACCCTAGGCCTGCTATGAGTCCTTCAGGGGTATCGAATTTGATTCTGCGGAGCTCTTGATTAGCCGTGTAGGCTGGCTCCGGCTGGTATGGGGCTAGGACAGTCCTCACGGGAGTACCATCTAGAACCCAGTGCCTTGTTGCTGACTTCTTGAGCTGCTTGTGTGAGCTCTTGCATCGGGATTTCGGCACTGTCTTTAAGCAGACTGCAAGCCACTGCCGCATAAACCATTTGTGCATTGCACGCAACCCGATCGGGGCCTTCAGTAGGAGAGTTCTGTGCTCTCGTAGATTGTCAGCGACTCCCCCTGGACTTTGGCGAGGATCACCTAACAAGATGCGAAAGAATGGCTGCCGCGGGACAGCCGGCGCAAAGGCAGACTTTAGGTCCACGTCTTGTTGGGCTTCTTCACTAATGAGCACATCAAGACTCTCCATGTGCGCCCTCAGGGCCGAGTGGGTTTGCCCTTTTTGCTCCCATATGAGGCCAGTTGTGGCAACAACCACTCGTGCTCCAGGAATAATGCCTGTGCAATGGAACATGACCTTGTCGTAAGTGGTGCTGGCCGTGTTGGCAGCTGCTTCTTCCCTGCCTACCGGCCTAATGAAGAGAGCTTGTTGGTCCGCATCGAGGTCTAGGGAGCTCAAAAGCTTTGTAATGGCCCTTCCTGCGGGATTCTCCTTGTGGGCAACGCCAAAACGCAAATTGGCGGTTATCGCGAACCAGGCAAGTAAGAAAGTAAGCGATCGTGTCTTGCCTGCACCAAAGACTCCGGCAATGGCCAACGTGGACCGACCAGTCTGGAGGGCTGAGGCCAGGGAGAGCGCAATAGAAAGGATATGGGCACTGTCAGTGCCTGCAGCTGCGCACAATTGTTGGCCAAATCCGGAGGCTTGGGGACAATACCGCGGGGTATTGGCCGTCGCCAGGAGCCCGAAAAGTGCATGTAAACTATGCAGTAATTCTTCAGCTCCGTCGAATTGATAGGAGACCTGGAGCGGGTAGGGGATTCCAAGGGCCGTCGGTTTGTGCTCGAGGGGCATCGTGGCCATTTGCAACAGATCATCAGCAGAGACCGTAGTACCTCAGCAAGGCTGAGAATGGGGAGCCCAATGGTGCGGGTCTCTAGCTGCTGCATGCACGGTGGCAGTGCCCATTGGATCGGTGAAGTGACGCCAAGTTCGGCTTGCGTCGGTATGGGAGCGAAACTCTCCGGCGTGGGGATGAAGGCCACCGTCCATGATCTCGGGCTACTTTGCCTGACTGCCAGTTCTTCCTTAGATTCATTGGAGCCCTGCCTTCACTTCTTCTTCGGTTGCGTAACATATTCCAGGAGCACCACCAGGAGCGCATACACCCTGTGATCTTCTCGGAGCACGATTCGGTACACTTTGCCAACCTGACTGCCGATGTATGCTCCGAAGGCAGCGTAGTAAGATACTCGAAACTGCTAACCGGCTGCTCCGGAGAAACAAAGGCTGCAGCTCTCGAGTGTGTCGCAAAGGCAATTTTATACTCACGCATGCCCTGGAGGCCACCATCCATGTGCCTCATCAACTCGTAGGAGGACCTTGCCATTAGCTTCTTTTTTCAAGCCACTCAGCGGCGCCTCAGCAAGCTTGGTGCTTGGCAGCTTGTCAGTGTCCACCACCTCAACTGGTTCAGTGAGACGCCTTTTCTTTGCAGCGGGCTCTGTGACAGTTGCTGGGTCAGCCGGATTTCCATTGGCAGGCACAGCTTTGGGTTCACCAAACTCATCAATTACACTTTTCACCACAGCTTGAAACTCAAGGCCATGGGTAGGGTGCTGGGACCGCTCCGCAATGATTTTGTCTGGGATGGAGATGGTTGGGCCAGGCCTCAGGCTGCACAAGTTGAGCTGCGGAGGTGCAGGAGGAGAAGCCAAGACATCAGCTGGCGGTTCCTTGTTTTTTGGAGCGAAACCAGGCAACTGGAGATCACCAGAGAGCAACTTGTCAGTGAACTCTTCCTGGACGCGACGCTGGAACCACTCCAGGGCAACCGGGTCAGCAGTGGCACCTAGATACAGGATCGGATATCTAAGGGCCTTGCACCTCTCCAGCCAGGCCCAAAACATGTCACCAACACCCAAACTAGTGTCCATCATGACCACCCCATTGATTCCGACAGGAAGGTCGCCGTCCACCAACGACTCCAGCAGTTTCTGGGCTGCGCTGGTTCCAAATTGCTCAAAGCGCTTCCCTCCACGCACGGATGAGGAGCCATCAATTGTTGCTGGTAAAGCTGCTTCAGACAGATCCTGGGGGACATGAAAATATGATTCAATCTCACAAGATGACAAAAGACACAAACAGTCACAGTGCATTTGGAAGAACACATAATGTTTACAGTCCTCGACAACCTTCAGCTGCGGGTTCGGAACTTGATCTGCATCCTCCGCGCGGCCAGTTCGCATCAACCGGCTACTTTGCCAGAACACTGCCCCGGGGGGGGGGCTTTGACCCGCTTGCGACTCTCAGATCCATCATCATCCACATCTGGGTCCGCCTCAACAAAAGGCCGGACAACCCTCAAAGGATAAAGCAATGCCCGCGTATCCCGAGAGTCTTTTCGGTCCCGGAAGGTGAGGGCAGCCTGAAACTCCACATCAACACCTTTGCCAGAGATGCTCCGGAGCAAGAAGTGTTCCAAGGCACGGCGCTGATGGATCTTGTAGTGAAAAACTGGCGACAGTAGTAGGCCCAAGTTCTGGGGCTGCTCAGCAACAAGTCGGCAGAAGCAACCAGATTCTGCTTCTTGCTGGCTCTGTGTATGGGCAGCCGGCGCAGCCCAGTTCAAGATAGATAGTATAACCTCAGAGGGCAAACAAGTGCTCAGAAGAAGAACTCACAAACATGGCAGCATGGCCCAGAAAGCCACTAACAAAAGCATGGCCCAGAAAGCCACTCACACACACAACTTACAACATGGCCCAGAGAGCCACTGACTCACAAGAGGAAAAATTACTGTTCAAGATCAGCCAAGTAACCACCGTGTGTTTCTGCAGGCCATTGTGCTTCAATAAGACAGAGAGTTGCTCTGTCACAGCGCGATCCAAGGCACCAACCTCAGAGGAATCATATGCCACGACAGACCCCTTGTTCTTCAACCACTGCTGAGCCCACCGGTTTGCCTCCTCATGGCGTTTCTTGGACCAGTCAAGCTTCGCATGGTGCACAGCAAGCTCAAAACTTCCAACCTTAGAGAGGTGAAGGCGGAAACATTGGAGATCATATTCCAATTGTTTTGATACCAGTGACCATTTGTCTTCATCCAAGCGCGTCAGGAGGATCTCTGTTGTGCTGCCTGGGCCCAGTGGAACTTTGCAGTTACACATATCAGCCACATTTCGGAAGGCCTTGATGTCAGTGACCACCCATTTGTCCCGCCTCTCGGACTGCACTTCATGCAGCTCCAAGTCCCATCCATGGGCGCCATCAAGCCAAGGCTGATACACATGGGTTTCAATATCAGCAGCGCTGATAGGAAACATTTCCTGCAACTGCTTAGCAAGGTTGACAAGTAAAGCAGCAGCTTCTGCTACAGCGTCAACCCGACTTCGATCCACTTTCTTCTTGCAAGAATTAGGCTTTTCAAACTCATTGATCAGCCTCTTGAACAGCAAAGTGGTAGCCTCAGAGCTCATAGCCATTAATGTGTTCCAGCTTTTGTGCGGTGCTTTGTGTTGGTAAGTAGGAAGAATTCTCTTGCTCGACAAAGCATCATCAGAAAGCACACAGCCGTCCCAGCCATACTTGGAGACATGGGATTGAAGCAACTCAATCAGGTCTTCAGGAAATAAGTTCATCAGGTTTCCTAAGGCAACAGCCTTGGAACCAACCAAGTGAGAGGACTTGGGCAGAAGCTGGTTGTAGCGGACAGTGACAGCAGCGCTGTCTTCATAGCCTTTCTTCTGGAGGCTACGAAGAGTGTGGATCCAAGTCATGAAGTTCGGAGGTTTGCAAACGCTGTCTCGGATGCTCAGCAAGAAGTTGTTGAAAATTTCACTTTCCAAGCTAGGCAGGACCACATGCTGGACATAGATGACCTCACACGACTCCTTGAATTTGGAGAAAGTACGCAACAAAGCAGTCCCTTTACCGTCTGCCCAGAAGAGGTGGAGGAGCGCCAAGCAAGTAGTGGCCCGGAGCATTCCCTTCACATATCCAAGGCCAAAAGGAGGAATCGGCATCCCAGAGGTGAAACTGGCCCACGGACTCTCCATGACATCACACGGGGTCACATGTTTGACCAGGAGAGGCTTTCCAGTGTCAAAGCCTTCATTGAGGATACGCTGCACTAACAAACCAGAAGCGTGCGCCGAAGGCGGTGGCTTCAAAGTGCAAAGCCCACAAAAACCAAGCATCGAAACATGCACACGACTTGGCAACGTTTCAGCACGTCGCTTCAAGTCTACAGATGGAATTGGCGAATCCAAGGCATACTCTTTGCTTTCGTCCAAAGGAAATGTGTCCCAAAGCCAGGTGGCAAAGTCACGCTTCTGCTCAACATCTTGCAACTTTGCTTCAAGATACTGCATAGGGCCTCCATGCAGGTCCAGGACCTGGCTCTGTAAGGCTTGTGTAGCCAGCTCAACTTGATCTTTGAAACGGACAGCACCTTCATCAAGAGCAGGCGGTATGTCCCAGGGCACTGGGGTGGGAGCAGAAGATGCCAAGGCTGAATCAGATCCAGCTTCAGACATGGCTCAGCGTCAGTGAGAAGGCTTCTGGGCTCCCCTATGAAAACTCTACTCTGGACCGGCGAATAAATATAAAAATTGTAAACAAAACGTTTCGGTCCGATCAGCCCCTCCCAGAATTGAGTCCCACGTTCCGACAAAAAAAAATTTTCGGCCCGTTCCCCCCCCCTTCACGGTTAAATAGTCCGATCAGGCCCTCGGCGGCCCTGATCCGACGATTTAACCGCCAAGGCCCGCGTTCCGACCAATTTGTTTTTTTCGGTTCGTTCTCCCCCCCCGAATCTTGGACCCTCCGTTCCGACGAAAACCAATGTTCATGAAAAATTGCCGCTTTTTTCTGCTGGCTTTTGCTGCTGATTGGGGATGACGGCTGGCCCCCTGTAGCCATCATCTGTCAGCGCCCATCTAAAATCCCCTCACTCCACATCAGAAGGCAGCTCCCATTCGGACTCTGTGGAGTCATTGTCACCAGCGGGGCCAGCTACCATTTGCTGGGCGCCAGCATGGTACCACTCCCGCTCCACGATAAACCTGGGCTGCTCTAGTGCGGTTGCAACCTCCTTCCTGACCTTGGAGCCACGCATGGGCCACAGGGTCATGGTTGCAAGTCATTGGCGAGCAACGGGACGAGAAGCAAGGGTCCAACTGTGTGCAGTTGCTCAAGAACTTAGCGCGCTTCCGCACAGGCAAGTGCTCAATCAAAGTCACCAAGCCAAGCAAGCATTGGTCAAAGTTGCAGTCCCGCACCCCTGGCAATGACGCAGCCAGTCGTCGGGTCACTGGGAGCTTCCAGCTCGAAGCCAACCAAGGGTGTTCCAAGATCACCCGCCGACCAGCTTGCACTTGTAACTGGACCAGCTTGCACTTGTCACTGGAAGACAGTCATAGCAAAGTGCCAAAGCTCCAAGGCCTCATTGTAACGACGCTGATACTTCTCCTCATCACGGCGGCCACGGTTGGTGTGTTGCACTTGTGAGAACAAAGTGCAAGGAGGATATCGACCCGATCACAGAAAATCTCTGGTCGAGTCGGTTATGGGTGTGGCCCACCCTAAAGAAGGCCAGAGAGGCCTCACTGAAGGTCTCGCCCCACACCAGGGCACTGCAGTACTGCAACATGAAGGAATTTCTTCCTTCTTTTGAGGTGTTGTCACTGTGGATGATGAGTTTCCAAGGCATGTTCTTGCCTTTTTTCCTTAATTCATTCTCTGCAAGCTCAAGAGCTCGGCTGATGACAGTCTGCTGGGTGTCACTGTCCCCTTTGACATCAGGCTGGACAATGGCAAAGTATTCCAGAACTCTAGCCACTAACACACCAACTACATGCAGAGCAGGACGCCAAAGCCGTTCCAGCATTTTGGAAGAGTCAAGGTTCCGAGGAACAAGCCACTTGGATTTGTCCAGGCGATCCTTACTGGCAATGGCCAAGGGCTCTGCCAAGTTTGTGTAGAGGAAAGAGAAGAAGGCTTCGACATCCACCTTTTTCGTCTCATGCCGCTTCAATGGCACTTTGCGACCATCTAGCGGAGCACTCACTTCACCCTCATCAATTTTTGGAGGAAGTAGCGGATCTTCTTTCGAGGGCAGCCAGTAGTGTCACTGTAGGCCTTCAAACACAAATCCTTTAGCCCCTGCCAGACAATTTTTTTCCTCCGAGCACCTGCTGGCTGGGAACGGTCCATATTCAAGAGCATTCCAAACCACAAAACATTCCAGCCATATCCATTTGGTCCAAACGATTTGCAACTTCAAGCTTTGCTGCACAGTGGGCAGCATTCAAGCCAAACTTCCGAAGGCAATCCCGGTGGCAGCATGATGCACAGGAATCTGGAAGCTCGACATCCGACTCCTCCGGCACTTCAGCATCACTGCAGCTGTCCCCAACATCAGGGGGCAACTCTATATCAGACATTGCACGGAGTCGGGGCAGGGTCTAATTTCCAATTCTATATCAGCATTGGGTGCGCAGTGGGTGCGTATTTTGTTTTGTTTTGCGACAATGGCGGGTTGTGCTGTGTCACATTTTGCCAAAGGTGATCATGGCAGGTTGTGTTTTGTCACATTTTGATCAAAGACTTTGAAGAACATTGGCCTCTCATATATAATACTCTACTTCGCACCGGGATTTGGAGGAAAGCAGCGGTTGAATCAAACCTGGGCTAGAGAGCCAAGTCAAAATGGCCCAGAGAGCCATGGTAACATGGTCAATATGGCCCAATGAGCCACTCAACCAAACAAAAACGAATGACAATCACCTAAAAAGAGCAACTCAAGCAAGTGCCATTATGGTCTATTCTTGATTCTGCTTTTGGATTGGCAAGACTTATGCAAGGTTAATTTTCCATCTTTGTTTCTGGTCAGCCGTGGCTCTCTTTCAGAATTCAATGACCTTGCTGTGAGGGCCATCATCAAAACCAGCGTCCAACCACTGCTTTGGACTCTTTCGATCATCAGAGCCAGCTTCCAACCGCTGCTCTGAACTGCTTCGATCATCAGAGCCATCTCCAACTCTGCACTCGGAACTACCCAATCCTGAAGCAGTGAAGGGTGCCTAAAAGTGCTTTGCTCCGGCGCTTGTGCCACATAGAATTCGCGAATTGTTCATGGTGGCTTCTGAAAATGCCCTTAGCTGGCTGTCAAAGCGCATCGCAGGCAGCAACGCCACAGAAAAGGTGAAAAACAACAATTCTAAACTTACTCTTTTTATACACATGCCATGGCTCATCAACCTCATCAAAGACGAAGTTCAAATCCCATTTCTTCACTGTTGGATGCTGCGCGCAAGCAAATCCATACAGATGAACTGTCGGCAGGCCCTTGTCATCAAAGGTCATCTCCCAAGCACCACATGCATCAAAAGCACGGTGCTTCCTGAAAAACTGATTTTTGTTCATATTTTCATGTCCAAGGCACAGCACCAAAAAACATAAAAAGGCGGTGAGCCATAAAAGGACAAGATGCCGCTTGGTCAAGCGAAGGAATCCCACACAGGCAGTCATGGGCTGGAACACAATCCACTCCTCCTTGCGACTGGTTGCCTTGCGCTGATACTTGCAGATGACTACCTGGTGCAAGGGGCCAAACACTGGGCAGATGTACTCAGACATCCATTCAACACCAACGACTGGTGTGGTGCAGACACCCAAGACGATATCACGGGATACCGCAAGGGAAGTTGACAAGACAAAGACCGAAAGGTACACAAGAACTCGAAGCTACCTACAAGAGTGGGGTTCAATCTAACTACACAGGTGATCTCTTGTCTTTAAGAGACAACCATGAGCCACCTGCCCATCTATTAGATGGGTTTGAACCGAAAAGCTTGAGCCAAAGGCTACGGACATCTATCACCTTCGCCATGGACCGAACCAATAAGCCTAGAACACGGCCGGATGGCAGTTTCTCCGGAGCTGGCATCGAAGGACTCTGTCTCCCAGGCGATTTTCACAATATTGGCCCGAGGGCCTGTGAAAACTGCAAGCGACTGGTCGAAGTCAACCCCATGTGCACTGTGTCCTGAGCGAGGAACCCTTGCTGGTTCGGCCCCAGCCCCTGTACAAGGCAAGCAAACTTGTTTAGAGAATCCACTCTGGGAAAAACTGCAACAGAGTGTAGAATACTGTGTTGTCTTTCGTGATTGCTGTGAAGTCCTTCCCACACAGGAATGCCTGGAAGGGTGTCCAATCCGAGACATTCCGCTCGCTGTCCATATCCCCATGAATCCGGAGGAGATGGTTCCTGAAGGTGCCTTTGCATTGGTGCCACGCCCACGCCACGTTAGCGTTGAGCCAGGCATGAGGTTTGTGGACGCAGAAGCATGGCAGAGCTTCGAATAGTCAAGATGCCGGCAACAGTGGTTGGCATCGCAGATAATGCATTTCGAGGTTGCCAGCTGCTCAGCAGTATCACCGCACCTGGCTGTCGGGAGTTTGGCTATAAAGCCTTTGCCGAATGCAGCTTGCAATGGGTGTGTGCAGTTGAGAGAGTTGCCAACCAATTTAGTGGTACCGCTGAATTTGGATATTACCTCTTGGGGATTGTATAAACCTCGCCGAGGCTTTTCCTCCACACGGGTTGCCAGCAGCGAACTTGCGCAAGGCTGCCTCAGCTCCACGGGATAAGCACACTTAAACTCACGCAGGACTTCTGTGTGATAGGGGCGCATGCTTGTGACAATTGTCACCACGGCTCTACCCCCTTTTTGGGGAACCTGGACACTTCGGACATCGCGTCCTACTTCGCGTCCTCCCTCTTGTCCGAAAACTTGGACAGATGCTCCTGCAGTTGCTTGCGGTAAGCAATCTCTTCCTAAGATCGAAGGCGTTCTCCGCTGTTTGACCGATTCGTCCAATCTCTTCAGGTTCTCCTCCGTCAGCTCGAGGACTGGGGGATCGACTGTCTCCGACATCCATTCGGAAGTACTGGCATCGGTCACGCTCAGAGCTGAGTTGTCGGCTGGCCTCAACAGTGACCTGATCTGGGACGTGTACTTCACTTTCTCCTTCTCCGCTTCATAAAGTACGCCGTCCCTGGCTTGACTTCCTGAACCCGCTTGGTCAGGTCCCCACTCTCTGTAGCGGAAATGCGGAGAACCACTTCGCTTGTCACCTTCTCGTCGCCTACCAACCCCGAAGAGCCCCCTTTGCTCTTGGGTCCCGCTGACGGGGCTGGTAGTCCGCAAGGTCCGACTCCGCGATCTCCGACGCTGTCAGGCTGACAAGTGAGATCCTCGCATTCCTGAAGGCTGCACCTCCACGAATCCCTTGGTCACCTTCTCTGGTGCTTGGGATCCTGACGCTCGTGGCCGACGCTTCGGCGCGACCCATGCCCTGTGGCGGTTCTGCACCATGTACTCTCAGGGTCTCCCTTTGCGGTAACCCGGGAGGCTTGGACTTCGCGTTCTACCAATCGCAACTTCACAGTCCGCTCCTTTCGAGGGGCTTTGGTGTGTTGCTTCAACACTCTCCTGATCGACCCCTTTGGCTCCGGGTCTTCCCTTGACAC